GTGATGGAGATAAGGATGGCAGTGCTGGGCGCTGAGCATCCTGACACTCTGACCAGCATGGCGAACCTGGCATCAACCTACTGGGATCAAGGACGATGGAATGAAGCTGAGAAGCTGGGGGTGCAAGTAATGGAGATAAGGAAGGCAGTGCTAGGCGCTGAGCATCCTGACACCCTGACCAGCATGGCAAACCTTGCGTATACCTGGCAATCTCAAAGAAGGCTTCCAGATGCCTTAGCTCTACTTGAAGCATGTTGTCAGCTGCAGAATAAGGTATTGGGCCCAGATCATCCAGACACCAGACGTTCCTTTCATGATCTTGGTGACTTGCGGGACCAGCATAATTTGTTGCTGAATGAAAACCCCCCGCCCTCAAACAGTCAAAAATGAGGTGGTTACAGCGCGCCGCACTGCGGCTGCGACGATGGCTAAGCGACGCCATGAAGGTTTCAGAAAAGAAATCAGAAATATAAATATATGCACCGGGTTTGCATCCAGCTGTATCATGACTGCGGTTGAGAACGATGCGCTCCCTGCTGAACCTCCTCCCTGCTCTAAGAGCAATGCATATGGGAATGGCTTCTATTGCAGAAAATCATGCCTCTGTCCAGCTGGAGGAAGCGATCTCCGCCGGACGACCAATTGTTCTATTATGCCGGAGTCAGTGGGATGACGCTGCCGGCATCTGGTTTCTCTCTGACGAACCCGACTGTGTGGGTGCCACCAGCAGGCCGGAGGATGTCCACCTCGAGAAGTGCTTTAAGGTCCTCAGGGGCGATGCGGTATGACATAGTCGGAAGGGCGGAGGTATATTGATTTACAATTGAAATCATCCGAAACATAGATGAGTCAAGCATGTCAAAGATTGTTACTAGAGTGTTCTTAAATCAAATAAAGTGGTCCAAGTTTATTGACCCATGTACCCACAGGCCTGATTTCTACCGAACACGAAACAAGATGAAACATCCGACCCCTGGCGGACTCGGCCATCACGCTCGTATTATTGGAGGAGCGACCTGCTCCAGAACGGAGAAATTAGCCTGAGACAACAGTGATCAGGGCATTTTTCCGTTTACACTGATCCTGGCAGTTATAAATCAAAACTCCCGTGTTCTCGCTGCTTCACCCAGCACAAGCAACTCTCACAAGCAACATGTTCACCACCAAAGCGCTCGCCCTTTTCTCGCTCCTCGGTCTGGCCTCCTGCCAGACCACAGTCGGCTTCGGTCCATACTTCTCCCTCGGACCTACCTCGTCATGGATCCGAGAGGCTACCACAACCCTTGTCCTGCCGGACACGCCAAGCCCGCAGAAGGACCGTCTGGCCCTATGGCCGGGCATGGGCACTAGCGGAGGCGACCTGATCCAGGCTCTTGCCGTGTCATTTGCGGATCCTGCGGCGTATGCGTACATTCTCAATGTTAGAGATCAATGCTGACGGGCGTAGGAACTGTGGCGCCAATGTAGGACAATGGTGCACGTGGGCTAGTACTCTCCAGGGTAGGTCAAGATCGACCGAAGCGCATATCATGCTAACTCCAGTACAGGGACACAACTAGGGGGTACCCAAGTACCTGCTAACCCGGGTGATAAGCTCACCATGCATTGTACGTTCACCGAGATCTGAGACAAACCCGTCTAATGATGTACAGACAAGTATAACGATAGCACCGGCAAGTATGACCAGACTGTGGCCATTAACGGAAAGATTGTCTCCACACTATCTACCAGTCAGTCCTCCGCCTTCGTTGCAATAGATAATACTAAGAAAAGCAGGTTCCGGTCACGCTCAAGGCTGGGGTACAGCCGTCGAATGCCAGGATGATGCGTGCCACAGCACTGCGGCTGCTCACCGTAAGTTAAAACTTTCGCTGGGACAGTGATCAGAACTGACGGAATGTAGAATATCTTGACACCACCATTATTCTGAACTCGGCTGACAACTCGTTCGGCAAAACCTTGGCCATCAACGAAGCTACCTCCTCTGGATTGACTACTTCGGACGGAGGCAAGACCTGGACTGTGGCTACTATCCATATTAACTCTCACACTTACAACCTGTAATGATGTTTAATTTGTGTTTAATATTAACCTTGGCTCTACCTCAGATTATTTAGTTATTCTTCTGCTGTTAGTCACAGTACATAAGCAGTGCCTTCTGTTGGCTTGCTTGTTTGTCTCTTGACAGAGAATATGGCAAGGATAGTAAAGGGCCCAGGGTATTGCGGTTCTTATCTGCGCCAAGGTATACATTGTTAACCGCATTAAGTGGCCAGTTAAATGCTCTAGGATATTATGTAAATGGATCATTTTATGGGCCTTATGATTCGCCAACTATATACGAGCAATGAGGCGAAGCAGTTTTCTGTTAGGCCAACCTATTAAGTACAGCTTACACCCACATTCCATAAATTAGACTACATCAAAGAATCAAATACAGCAGACAGTCTGAAAAATTCCCTATAAGACATTGAATTTAAGGAATATGTCAGCGAACTTGGCCGCAACGGCAACAGCAACAACATCTGCCCCCACATTTCCTCAATTCTCCAACCTCCCCCCGGAGCTGCGCATTCTAATTTGGCACGCAGCCCTCCCCGAGAAAGACAACCCAGCCCTAATCTTCTTCAAAAAAGGCTGTTGGCGCCTAGGACGTCCCTTAGAAACCGAGCAGGGGCACGACCCCACTAATCGACCCCACCCAGACTTCTACTTTAGTCCTGAACTACTAGACCACGTGGAAGTCAATGTCCCACTGTTCTTTGTCAACCGCGAAGCGCGCAGGATCGCTCTAGCCTGGTGTCGCGAGCAGGGGATCTCAATCCGCTTCTCCGGCAGCCAACAATCCCCAATCTTTGCGCGCCCGTTCAACTCACAGCACGACGTGCTATACGTCCCGCTAGACGAATGGGACGGCTTCCTCCTCGAGCCGTATGATCAGATGTTTAGGTTCTCCCACGATATCAGCACATATGCTCTGGAGCTGGGGGGCATAGCTGTGCCTGAGGTGCAGATCCATAGCAACGCCTCGGTACTGCATGACCTGTTCGGGTGGCCCTATTGTCCGGCGGTGCTGTATGCCGTCATCGACCCACCGCCGCATCTGCGGTTGGAGTATGCAGGGCTAAATGTCCAGCGGCGCTGGGAGGTTCAGGCCCGGCCGGGAGGGTCATTGTTCTATACCTGGAATGACGGCCGTGGTAGCTTTGAGGAGGGGCCTGGTGGGTGTGCTGGTCATGGAGAATTGTACGAGCGGATCAAAGAGGCTAGTAAAGGGCTGGGTGAAGGGTTTACATTGCACAAGGTCCGTAGCTTTGAGGTCCGGCCTGTCTGTGCCGTTCGAAATGAGGGAAGCACATAGTTTATGCTTTCGAGATAATGTACTATAATTAGACCTGCGGGTATTAGATTATCGGTTTTCCTGACGAGGGAGAGTGGCTTGATACTGAGCAAGTAGAAGTTGAATTATGATAAAAGGATGAAACTAGCCCTGTGCATATGATTGACTCAGTACCACCGAGACGAATCTCGGCGAAGTCAAGAACCATGCCTGATACAGATAGAGATGGCGTCGATCGCTCAATTGGGTCAATTTTCGGAGAATCTAGTCCTATAGTATTGCAATAGAAGGTAGAAGCAAACAGGGATTGAGGTAAATTCATTATAAGCTCCAATTTGCCTTCTTGCCGCCAACAATGTTTGATAGCAATTCCGAAAAAAGCATGGCTTCTCATAAGATTCTGAGTCATGAACCGCGCCTAACGGTGAATACTTGGACATACGGCATGTCCGAAGCTCAGCCTGCTAAAAGTGAGGAGTCAAGTGCGCCTCATGACCTTGACTCGGGCTAATGCAGTTCACCTGTGCGTACCTGAATCAGGGCACAGACTGAGCACAAGGCTCTCGCTAAAACCGCATTCCATCCGCAGTAGTGCAGAGCAACTACCGAATAAGGCATCTTCACGACATGCGTATTTAGTCAGTATAGCGCGGTGGTAGCATTTCATGGGATTGACAGGGATTAGCCTGCGCCGCAATTGCGGCAGAAACAATCGCGTCAGCACCAAGCCAGGGGTCAAAATGAAAGAACTTCCCCAAGGTAAATTGGGCACACTTTCTAATCGTCGTGATCTTTCCCTGCGCGCTCTATCCCCCGCTAACGATTGAAACTTATCCCATGGCCCCGACTACAAGAAAGCTCAGTCCTGAGACTCTTCGACGCAATGGCATTGTTATTGAGGAGGATATCAGCGAGAACGGCTGGCCAGACGAAATTGCGCGAATTAGAGATCGAATCCTCTCGTTTGACTGCATCATCCCGCCGGAACAGGTAGAGTTGTACGCTTTGTACAAGGTAGTTTGTCGAAAAGGCTGACTCCATATCCACGACAAGTTCGCGCAGAACCGCCTTGAACCTCATCTTTTGAAAAGCATCTACAAGGAACTACCACAGGCGAAGCAAGATGGGTGGTTCAACGGAGAAATGGCCTGTAATGAAGAGAGTGTCCTGGGACAAAAGGAGGCCAAAGAGAGGCATCTGGAAAATCTAAAAGCAGCGTACAACCTTGTACAATTTCCCAGTCGCAAGAAACGTCTGGCGTGACGTGCTAATTTATTGCTCAGTACGAACATGCAGTGGACTTGGAGCGCAAGGGTGGCATGGAGAGCAAACTAGGAGACAAGCTCGCCGACTATGTGTTCAAGGAATGGAAGAAGCATGCAGATGAAACGTACGCATTTTGTTTCCCAAGACCTAATATGAAGGAGGCTGCTGATGAGAAAAACTATTCTCCCAGTTCAATAAGCTCAGCTCATAGTCGGCTTGATGGCGAATTCGCGACCACGTTGTAAGTCATGACTCGTCGAGCTATCAGGTACGCTCAACTGACATTATAGCGGCCGAGACTCAGACCTCTTCAGCCAGGCATGGCATGTTCGCAATGACTGGCACAGTCAATGCTCCGTCGCAGAGGTAAGAAAATGGCTCCGCCTAACGAGTCAATATACTCACAATTCCGCTACCGAACGGTTAAGCCATTACGTGAGGGCGAAATGCTATCAATTCCCAAGCCGGATTGGTATTTTGGGTTCCCCTTACACAATGATATCCGCTTCCCCCGGAAGACGGACAAAGGACAGACTCAAGCGGTATTCTCATTGACAAACCTTAACCTCTTGGAAGAGTCCGAGACATTGCAGTCGTGCCCCTTGATGTCGCTGAATAAGTATTGCGCAGACATTAAAAAGTCTCCGCGGAAGATAAAAGACCATAAGCTGACCTGTTACCCATGGGCAGTGGTTGAAGCCAAAAGACCTGGCGTATCACCATATGAGATCCGGAAATGTTATTATCAAGTGGCAAATAGTAGCTCCGCCTGCGTCGCATTGCTTCGGGGACTATCAGACAGTCCAGCGCACGATTACCATCATCCAGTGGTTGCTTTGACTTTCGTTGGAGGAAATGCCACAGTGTTCCTGACCTATGCGGAACCACTTGTCGGGGCCGACTGTGACGACGATGACGACAACGACGACGACAACGACGAAGAATACGACGACGACGACGAAGACGACGACAACGACGAAGAATACGACGACGACGAGGACGAGGAACACGATGATGATGACGACGATGAGCCGATCATTCTATATGTGAGTGTGCTTCAATCTTCTCGACGTCAACTCAATAAAAGACCTGGAGTCGCTGCTGACGGGTCTGCCCAACTAGCGAATGAGATGCATCTGGGAAGGGCGACTGGATATACTGTGGAACGCGCTGCAACTCCGACGCATGCTTGACACCATTCACTATTGGGCTTTGCAGAAGTATCGAACAGACATTGACAGTGACATCAGGAGACGACTGAGAAAGTATCGACCTACGTCCAACCCCTCGACTCCAAGCAGTTTCCGGCAGGCCGAAGAGCAGGGGCATTTCAGGACTAGCCCGTCACCATTGGCAAAAAAACGAGGCAATCGGCCAGCGCTACCTGCATTGGTGAGTGTACCCCGTATACGATATCCTCGTTCCGTAGTAACCTGGCGTAAAGGACAATACAAAGAGCCCAAGCACATTGGTCAGGCAACTGGAGGAGTTAGACGTGAACAGCGCTCCGTTAGAATTCGAAAGTTCGCCGCGCAGGTCAAAGAAAATAACCAAAAGTGGATGACAGGGGGAAAGCACCAAGGAGGTAAAACCACTGTGTCTGTTGCTACAAGATGAGAGTCGTTTCAAAATTGGCTCTCTGAGCCTACCCTCCATTAACTGTCACTACGCCGGCAAAGAACGGTAATATAAACCGAGCAAATAGTCTTTAATAGGACATTTGGTTTTCTGCTGAGATTCCCAAGCCGTATAGCAATTTACTTTTAAGCAAATGGGCATTATTGTAAATACCAGTAAGAACAGTTCTTTAGAGTACATGAACGATCGAAGAAAGCTAGTTGCAAGACAGGCAAAAAATTGCAGTCGCAGGTCAATGGAAAAAGGCAAAAAATGGACTCGCGGGGAATCGAACCCCGGACCACCCCCATGCTAAGGGGGTATTATACCACTAAACCACAAGCCCACTTGTTGGTAGGTTTTTGGAATTTATAACTTATAGTAATGTTTCACATGACCTCCGTCTCACTGTGAACTCATACATAGGGCCTGAAGAACAGTCAGTAACAACTAGCCGGGGTTGACTGCCTAGACACCGTTTAGTCTAGTGGTTCCTTATTCAGGCAGCTCATCTACTGGCACTCTATATAAGATTTAAGAATAAATTACTATTCTCACAGAAGCAGTTTCCCTGTACAAAATATATTTCCACTGCTACAACAATCGAAGGTCATGTCTGCTGCTAGATATTTACTTAGGTACAGGCATATTTATTGCCCAGTGCTCCTACACTGCCACTAAACAACTTTGACTCTAGAAATAGGATCCGGTGCCCTATAGAACCCAGCCTGAGGAGCGAGGTACTTGTTCGCGGATCTGAACAGTCGGCTGGAGATTACTATGGCGATGATTTAGACATTCTACACTACGCCGGCCCAGTTTTAGCCACCGTTTTGATGGATTCAGCTGTCCTTGGACTGCAAGATGTGTCGCTTGCAGAATGGAGAGCATTGACCAGAATTAGGCTTGGCGTGGTCATATATAAGACCGGAGTTTGCAGCTTGTAGCAGCAGAGGCAACGGATTAGGGGCATATAATGCTACCACATGTAGAGACGGCTAAAATGATCATCAATATCTAAATAGACGAATTGAATTCGACTCTATAGGTCATGTAAACCGGGTATATCTGCATGATGCAACTATAATTGCATTGTACATTGAAACCTGGAGATAAGATATATGTACTATGCAATACCCAAAGTTAGGGTTTATGGCAACAATGACTTCATTTGATAAACAGCACCGGACAAGCACATGTAAGCCAAGCTTAGCCAAGGCTCTAGTATTAAAGCATCTATATATACCCTCTGCCCCCGCTGCCTCTCCAATTCAACTCTCACGCCCGTCCTTCGGTATCTACTTATAACCATCATACTGCGCAAATGCAGAAGCGCTGGCTGGAAGCCCGAAACAATCACACCTACGAGAACGGGCTTCGCTACTATGGCTACAAGGCCGAATTCCCCTTTCCCGATGATCAGGCCGCCCAAGAAAGCCATAGCGCAGTCAATTATCTCTGGCGCATGGTGCTAGATGATAAGCTCTTCGTCGCGCCGCTTCCGACACCATTGAAGAGAAACCACAAGGTTCTTGACTTTGCTACACGGAGTGCTGAATGGATTGGAGACTTCCATGACAGTGATGAGTATGCCGGGGCTCGCCTCACCGCTATGGATCCTACCTACATGCAGCGGACTGACTGGACCTGGCTTGTGCACCATGATCTCGAAGGGGACTGGCCGTTCTCGGCTAAGCAGGCATTCCATCTCATCCATGCACAGTCCCTGGGTGGGCTGCTTGCAGATTGGCAGGGTTTTTATCGGAATGCCTACAAGCATCTTGTCCCTGGTGGATGGTTGGAAGTAAAGGAACATAATATTCGGCTTTGCTCTGATGATGGTGATAGTGGTGTTCCGGACGCCGTACGACAGTGGCAGGAGCTGTTGGAGGAAGCGGCAGAGAAGTTTGGAAGAGGATTAATGTTGCGGGAAAGCAACGGGAGTGGAGGAGCGTGCTGGGTTTGTAGAGGTAAGGGAGCAGGTATTCAAGGTAGGCTCACAGTCCCTTGTCCTTTCGCCCTCAGTAAGAGGTACTGAGTCTTATAGGTCCCACTGGGCGAGTGGAGCGAGGACCCCAAATGGACGAGACTTGGAGGGACTTACTCCTACCAGCTGTTGAAAAGTCTAGAGGTGTATTCTATGCGACTATTCACTCGTACATTAGCCTGGTTGAAAGAGGATACCGATGCGCTGCTCGCCCGTGTTCGTAAGCAACTGCAGCAGGAAAACCTGCGTCTCTATTCCTATTTCCATGTGGTCACAGGACAGAAACCTACCAGTGCGAAAAGGACGGTGCATTAGTTCACCCACCACTTGTGAAACAATTCGTTGTTCAGAAATCAAACTCGTATATCATTGAACATAAATTCTTTCAGTAGACAAGGTCATATTTATAAGATCAGAATGAGAACATCATATACAAGAAGGGGAAGAGCAATATCCAATGCTTTAAATCTCTTAAGGCATCTCCTTAATTTTGAGTAGGTTTTGCCATGAGCTCCTAAACAGCATCAGGGAAAGGATGGGGGTTAGCCAAGGTCGTGGGAGCATCGCGCTTCTGAGGACCAATCAAATGGTCAAAGGCAGGCGAGTGAGAAACACGAGGAGTAAAGTCCTTCAGATCCCAGAGATATCCAAGGGTCTTGAGAACAGAGGTGGCACTGTACGAGGCAGACTTGCCAGTGGCAGGGTCAACACCGTAGTTCTCAATGTGTCCCTTGGGCGTGTACGGCGAGATAAGCCAGGTAGGCATACGGCCGCCCAGACGGTCAAAGTTAAAGGTGTAGGAGCTGCCATCGGCGGCGGTCTCGGTGTAGGTCTTGTTGTCTGGGCGGACGGCCAGAGGGGGCTGGACGTGGTCGTAGAAACCGCCGGTCTCGTCGAAGGTGACGAGCAGGAGGGTCTTGTCCCACTGGGGACCGGTGCGGATGGCATCGTAGACCTGCTTGACGAGGACCTGACCGAAAGAGACGTTGCCGGAGGGGTGCATGGAGTTGGTGTCGAGGTCGCAGCAGGAGGGGTTGATGTAGGAGAGCTGGGGCAGGAGGCCGAGGTAGGCGTCCTGGTAGAAGTTCTCAAGGGGGACGACGTTCTGCTTGGCGTTCTGGACGGTCCAGTTGAAGAAGAGAGCATCGGTAAGGAAGGCACCGTTGGTGCCGTCGTAGTTCTTCCAGGTGATGTGCTTCTCGCTGGCAGCCTGGAAAATGCTGGAGATGTCGACGCCAGAGACGTCGAAACTGTGGTCGTTGTGGCCGTGGCCATCAGCGGTACCGGAGAGGGCGCACAGGCGGTTGGGGTTGGTGGGCTATTCTCATCAGTATCGTTGTACTCGTAATAGGGATGAGTGACTTACACCAGGAACACAAGAGTGCCAGTAGTTGAAGGTGGTGAACTCGTCAATCAGGTTGACGAGAGTGGGGATCTCGTCCTCGGAGTAGTAGCCCATGACCTCCTCAGTGGCCAGCTTGGGATCCAGGCCCTTGTGGTGCACCAGATGCTGCTCCACGAAGCCGTTCATGCTGGGCTTCAGGGTGCCGTTGGCGATGGCCGCGTCGCTGGGAGTGTACGTGCCATACAACTCCATGTTGTAACCGGTGATCGAGTGATCAGGGTCATGTTTGACCGAGTCAAAGTCCTTGTAGACACTGCACCACTTGGTGCTGCTGGGATCGCTCACATTCTGGGGGTTGCAGAAGGGGCCGTTGTTGACAACGTTGTCCAGACCCTTGCGGTTCACACCACCCAGGATGTTGTCGAAACTACGGTTCTCCAGCAGAATCCACACGACATTTTCGATCTTGTCCTTCAGGTTGGCAATGGACTCCTTGGAGCCAGAGGCATACCCAAAGGGGGTGTTGCCGGACGCAGCCACGGCGGCAGCAGCAGCGCTACTGGAGAGACCGAGCAAGGGCACCAAAGTGTTGGCCTTCATGATGAATGGTGAATGGAAGTTAGTCCTTGCTCATTCTCACTTGCTGAGCAGTCTAGATGTCTTTTATATTAATGTGAGTAGCTCCATTATCTTCTTGCTACCAGCGCGTACTGCAATCAGGAAGCACAAATGACGAGTGATACTAGCTAGCACATGCGCTGATCGACAATTCCTACAGGTAGGAATTATGCACCCACTATTGTTAGTACAGCCTATCGGATATGTCTACCGGTAAGTGACATCTCCCTCATGGCCAGTAATGCAGTCAGATCTTGCATGTCGTGCCAATTCCCGGGTTTGATCAAGGCAGAGAGCATCTTGTGGGGCAATTAGATTGAGATCATCGTTTTTGCTTCTTCATTAATCACTGATGTTTACTCAAGGTAGCATCGCCAAAGTCAAACCCAGATTGATATAGACGTTGTTACCGTTCCAAACTCTCTATCTCATTATTGATGTGCAGAACATCAGGAACAGGAAGGTACACAACAGAAGTGGGCCCGCTAAGCATTAATGGCTTTACTTGGCTTGGTTGTCTCCACATCTGTTGTGCTCTATGGGTTAGCCAATCAACGCACGTAGATGTGAGCACCCTTTGCAATGTACAATATGATTGGATAATATTTTGTTCTGCGTATCTACTATGAGTACACTCACCAATCATATCCAACCATTTGAGCATGTTGATGGTGCATTTGAAGAAGATTGAGATGTCTCGTCTGAAAGTCTTGTTCTGTCTAGGCAACAACTTGGCCTTTAATTATGACAAGGTGGCGTATCGTTATCACCTTCTGGATTCTTCGGCATAGAGAAAGTCACCGCCCCAACAAACCGAGGTGACGATTTCTACTGTCCCACCTGGTAAGTAATTTCCCAGGTCCCAACGTTCACCGGACTATGAATGAAGTTAATTGACAGAGTTCTATGGATAGAACTCTAGTAATACAATACAGTCTACAGTCAGAGACCAATGCCATCAAGGCAGTGGCTGGTTGGCCTCCCGTAGCGTTTCGTGGACGGATGTTGTTGGCACTACACACAGACCCTGCTACCAAGTGTAGGATTCCAGCTCGTAGCAATTCCAGAGAAACGATTATATGACTGGGAATGGCATGGATGAGACTCTTGCATGGATAAAAATAGACAGGTGCGGGGTATCAGATTGGCAAAGGCACTGTACCCCCGTCGCAGAGCACACTGTTAAGAGATACGGATGCGTCTTGCGCCATGCCTCATCGTACAGTGTGATTAGCCGTACATTACGAGAAACCTGAAAATGAGAGGAATTGTCCATGGTAATTTATCAAATACAGCAAGCTACAATTCAACCAGACTTCAAGGACCAAATTCCGGTTGCGAAATCAACCTAGTCTTGACTATCCCGACAGGTCCATCCAGTCCAGTCTAGCCAGCGGCGTACCTGGAAATGGCACGCAGCTTGGGTCCAAACCGCCAAAACGCAAAAGGCGCCACCCAGCCAATAGCCACCGTGACGAATGCCAGCACGCTGGTCCCCCATCCATAGCCCAGAGCTTGGTACATGTACGGAGCGAAGAGCGGAAACCCAAAGCCCGCCAAACTTCGAAGGATCGCGCAGGCGGCCATGGCGCTGGCCGCGTAGGTCTGGTAGCTGTCGACAATGTACATCTGCATGCCCTGCAGGCACGAGATCGTGCCCGCGGTGAAGATCAAAGCACCGATGTTGGGCATGATCCAGTGCGTGTTCCCGATGCTCCAGCCGTACCAGAAGAGGCCGATAGTGCTGAGGAGGGAGCCGACGGCTAACGACGGCATGCGGAACTCGGGCTTGCCGATGTCATTGTTCCGCGCTTTGAGGGTCTTGTAGATGCGGTCAACAAACTTGAGGTTGAAGAAGAGGCCGGCGAATGACCCGATGGCGATGGAGAGGTAGTTGAGTCCGCCGATACTGGGGCTCTCGTGGTATACCACGGTCCAGATCTCGGGGAACGTGGCGAGCATCAGGTACGTTATTCCAAACAAGTAGGCCATGTAGATGGCCATGCAGAAGACGATGGGCTGCGTTGCGAACAGGCGCACCGGCCGCTCAAACGCGTGGAGAAGCTTGTAGGCAAGTGTCTCCACCTTCTCTTCGGTATGCAGATTCCCGTTGCCCGTCTCCTTGACGAGACAGTCCCGTCGCTTGCGTAGGAGCGTGGCCGGGTGACACTCACGCAGCCAGACGAATCCGACGACCTGGACTCCGACGGCGGCAGCCGAGGTTGCCCAGAACACCCAGCGCCATGTTGAGTACTGAGCAATGAAGCCGCCGGCAATGGGCCCGATGACAGGTCCAAGGAGCGGCCCAAGAGTGTAAACGCCCATGGCCTTGCCGCGTTCTTCGGCGCTCCACATGTCGCTGCAGGACGGGTCAGCAAAGGAAGAATTCGGCGATTGCGTCTCTTCTTACCCAATGGCACCTCCTCCAATTGCCAGCGGCGCGCTGCCACCAATGCCCGCAAGGAAGCGAAAAGTAAAGAGCTGAGCTTTGGTCTTGGCGAAACCGCATCCCAGATTCCAGGCAAGGTACCACGCGTTGCTGACCTGAAGCAGACGCACACGACCGTAGAGCTCCGAAGCAGGACCGAAGAAGATGGGGCCGATGGCGTAGGCGAGGATGAAGATGGCCATGGAGAGGTACACCTCAATGTCGGTGCGCATCCCCAGGGTCTCACCGAGATCTTGCATGGCCGGCGCAATCATGGATGACGAGATGGGCGAGATGAAGACGAAGAGGGAGACGGTCCAGGTGTTCTTCCACTTCAGGCTGTTGGGCCAGTTTTTGGGGTTCTCTGGGTCATCTGGCCCGCTCCATGTGACGAGATCTGGGTCTTTGTTGGACGGCTCGGTTGAGGATGTCGCTTTGGCTGCTTCGAGGTCTTCCTTCTCAGGGCGAGGTGCGATGCCCTCGTTGGAGGCGCTCGGGTTCTTGTCGCTCATCTTGGATGGAAATCATCCACTAATTTTAATTCTGCGCTGCCTGATACTTCTTATACTTACCTACTATACATTCTTATGTATCAAGCAGCCAATCACCAGGCCGTATTCCGCTTCGGGCCCGGATCGCCCGTGACGACCGACGCGCTGTCCAATGGGAGGGGGCCATTCTTCGGGCCCGGCGCCGACCTTGTTTAAACACTCTGTACAGCTAGGCCTCATGTTGCTGCACCGTCACGATAGGAGAAGGGTCCACAAGAGGCCTCGAAGATGATGTCAACAATGCCATTGTTCGTTACTAGTCATCCAATAGAAAGACCTGACGGACACGCTCCTATAATGAGGACAAGGCTGGTACTATCCGGCTTAATGTTGTCTGTTGAAGAGAATGACGGCCAGCAACTCTCCCATTACG